GCCATTAATGGCCAAATTAGGTGCGCCATTAGTAGGCCTTTTTCTAGTAGTGTAGGGTCCGCACACTTAATGTTCGATGACGATAGGTATTATATGAGTTATGTGTTTTGGTGACCGAAGGTTGTTCGGAGTCCCGGATGAGATCACGGACATGACGAGGAGTCTCGAAATGGTCAAGAGGTAAAGATTGATATATTGGAAGGTTATGTTCGGACATTAGAATGGTTTCGGAAAGGTTCAGATATTTTTCGAAGTACAGGGAGGTTACCGGAAGCCCTCAGGGAATTATTGGGCCTACATGGGCCATATGAGAGAGGGGACGCAGCCCACAAGGGGTGGCCGTGCCCACCTCCCATGGGGAGTGTTGGACTAGGGGAGGGGGCGCGCCCCCCTTTCCTTCTCCTATTCTCTCTCCATTCCCCCTTTTCCCCCTCCGGAAGAAGGAAAAAGAGGGGGATGGGGGTGAATCCTACTAGGAGTGGAGCCCTAGTAGGACTTCCCCCTCCCTTGGCGTGCCCATGGTGGTCGGCCTCCTCCCCTCGTCCTTTATATACACGGGAGGGGGGCACCCCAAAGCACATCAATTGTTTAGCCGTGTGCGGTGCCCCCCTCCACCGTTTACTCCTCCGGTCATATTATCGTAGTGCTTAGGCGAAGCCCTGCGCGGATCACTTCACCAATACTGTCATCGCGCCGTCGTTCTGACGGAAGTCATCGACTCCTTCGTGCCTCTACTAGATCAGGAGTTCGACGGACGTCATCGAGCTGAACGTGTGCAGAACTATGAGGTGCCGTACGTTAGGTACTTGATCGGTTGATTCGAGAAGACATTCGACTACATCAACCACGTTAAGTTAATGCTTCCGCTTTCGGTCTACAAGGGTACATGGACACACTCTCCCCCTCTCGTTGCTATGCATCTCCTAGATAGATCTTGCGTGAGCGTAGGAAATTTTTGAAATTGCATGCTACGTTTCCCAAACACTGTGGACCCATATTTGTGGGAGCTCTATATACAAGAAGCATTGTAATATTGTGTTGTCAACAATTATCATCTTAGTTCGAAGCAGTGATGATCCAACCTAGGTAATATGCAAGATTGCCTTTCTCAATATCTATGGATATTTTTGATGATTCATAATATAATACATGAACATAACAATACTAGGCCAGGCAGACAAAGAACATATATACCAATGAGTACTCTGCAGAAAATGAATTACAAACAAAATTGCATTATGGCAATTGCAAATTATCAAATCAAGTGGCAATCGACGTGGTGCAATACTTTCGAGTTTGAGATGTGGCGCTTAAAATAGGGGGAAAATGTCGGAAGCCACTACAGGTTCTCCGGGGTCAGGTTCTACTCCGGAAGCCATTTCATTGGGTAACATGGAGAAGCACGAGATGGGGGGACTCGGCCCCTTAGGGCTCGTTTGGTTGTCCTGGATTCCCCCGGTATCCCCACCCCACCCTTTCCCTAGGTAGTTGTCACCGGTGAAAAGCCATCTCGGCGCTATCTAACTGTGAATTTGTTGGATGCGCGCGCGCGAGAGAGAGAGAGATATCCTGCCCCATCCCTGTCAAATCCCTGGGCAAAATATAAACTACCCCCGACTCCATGGAAGATTTCCCCTCCTCTCTCTCTCTCTTCTCTGCTCGAATGGATCAGACCACTGCGGCCGTTCTGGTCGACTTCATCTCATCGCCGCACAACTGTCTGAAGAAAATTACACCCGTGCTTTTCTTATCCTGGAATTTCTCTCCCCGGCAACCAAACATAGCCTTAATGTTGGCATGGCGTAGGTGGAGAGGACGGTGGAGTGGGGAAGAGCAGTGGAACGGATTTCGGCGATGAGTTGGATGTGCTACTTGACGATAAGGTGAGAAGAAGGCAGGTGGTGAGCACAGACTTGGGAGAGAATATGGTGGTCAGCTCGGGAGAGGTGTGTGCGATGCGGGGGGAGACGAGGATCTGGGCGGTGAGGTGCGTATGATGCTCAAGATCATGTTGAAAGGGAGGCAGGAGGTGAGCCCTGAGGTTGGAGAGGCTGAGGTGGTCCGGTTGGGGGCGAGGTCGGGGGAGGTTGCACCAAGGTCTCACCTGGACGTATACATACCTCGCTGTGTCGCGTGCGCCATCATGACTACCGTGAGCACTGTTCTACCCATGCAAAAAAAAAGAGCACTGTTCGACCGTTGCACACACATATCATAGTCATTGCAGGTGCTAGGGCAACTTTAACGCGCCGATGCAAATGAACGCGGATTTTGTCCGCTTTTCGTCCGTCTAGGTCGGTGTTTTGTGCTTTGTCCGTCACTGTCCATGTTTGGGTAGGCAGTAGGCCCAACGCGCCGACACATTTTCTTCCATGCAGCCATATTTTTGCGCATTTTGCATACATATCAATAACATTGCCCAAAGTTCACATAATCCAACCAAATACAAATACTGGCCACCGTTGAGAGTTGGATGCTAGCTTGATTCAATGCTGTAGTATGCCCCGGGATCCAGCCCCTAAACATCGGTCCCTGCCTACTAATGTGGACATGGACGACCAAATTAAACAGCAACCACAATGTTTTCTTGGCCGGAAAACGAATCATCCGAATCACAAATGAAGTTGTTGAAAAAGTACTCATCGCCACTATCCCGTTTACACCTTGGGGGCGAAACATTGAACACCTTGCAGGCGTGACGAAAGAAGCCGGCCCGTGAAGAGCCCCGTGTCTCTCCCGGACCAGGAAGCGGGCCTATCGACGTGGAGAAGACCGTGGTGGCGATCCGCGAGGGCGGTAGCCGCGCTTGGCGCGTTGCTGGCGGAGGCGAGGAGGTGGCGTGGACATCGAGGCGCTACGATGGCGGCAAAAGAACGACCATCGGGTGCGGCGTGCTGCTGGGGGAGCTATGTGGGTGGTGGCCCAGCCAATGGAACTGGGCGGCGGTGGCGAGGGTGGGGTGGCTAGGTTTTTTTTGAGGGGTGGCTAGGTGTGTTGGCTGTCGGGGAGAGGGGGGAATTCAGGGTGGACGCAGCGAGTGGGCTTTTTGGCCCGCTGGTGGCCCGCACAGGACCGAACCGATCAGTCCAGGCTCACTAGCAAACTTGGTCGGTCCGGATTGTAAAAGTACGCCCGTCAGCACCTCGGTCTGGTCCGCATATTAACCGAGCCAATCGGTCGGACCAAGAACTGCCGTCGGCGACGTTGGCGCTGTGTCGACGTGAACATCATGGGTCGCGTCAATCAGTCGAGCTTCGTTCGCCTGTTCGATCTTTGCATCACAGCATGCACCGCGGTTACACATACATGGTGTTCTAGTTCGCCGAGAAGAGCCAGCTCAGCGAGTAGTTCCACGTCCATGTCAGCGAGGTGATCGGATGGATGACCCAACACGTAGTCGGCAGCTGCACACGCACGCCATATGTCATCGCTGCAGTGACCGCGGTGTCAGTTAAAAGTTGTTGCCAAAGTTTCACAAACATTCAGTTTCGTCAGGAGTAATTGTACTGTTAAAAGTTCAATTTCGCCGGTTCAAATTTTCTCCCGTTAGTGAAATAAAGCACCTGTACAATGCAATGTGCTTAGAAGAGGTGCTTGGAGAAATAAACCGGTCTTTCTTTAAGCATCGGTGCTTTGTACAAGGTAGACGCTTAATTAGACGCCTCTCCTATAAAAATAGGCACCGGTGCTTCAGAAAACCAGGTTTATTTTTTTAAGCACCTCTCTAAGCATCTAGCATTGTACAAGGCCTAAGGGCTGCGACTTGGTCTTCGTTTGTTAGCCTAGCCCGTCGCTTTAATCGGATCATAGGATGGCACGATATTAAAACGATCCTAGCGACGTTGCAGGGTAAGCCGGCGAGGCACGCTGGGATGGCAGAAACAGCAAGGCCCGCACACAGAAAATCGTGGGTGGTTTTCCTTTCCTTTCACTCCGTTGAACAGATAACAGAAACAGCATGAGAACCGAGGTTCGATCCGTTAATTAAGGCGTCATCCCACAACTATCTCCATGTCAAAATTGATCCGCTAATCACGGAAAGGCCAGCACACGCAAAATCGTGGGCTCATGCACGCGCTAAAATACTGACATGTAACGGAAAAATCTGCAGGAACAAACATGAGTGGCTAACAGATGCGCCCTGGCCGGCACCACCGCGTCTCGTCGCTGCCATGTGTGAACCGTCGCTGATCTCGACCATGCTGTTGTCTTCACCGTGTCCAGGAGCTCGCCGGAGTCGTCTGTCGCCGCTGCCGTGGTCACCACCTCGCCGCCGCCGCCGCCGTGGGCGGTCCTCTAGGTCCGGCCCGAGCTTTACGTCCGCCGGTCAGGTGTAGGGAAAGGGGACTGCCACGCTGCTGCTCGTTCCGGTCTGGTCCGCCGGCGGCCGGTCCAAACGACGGCTCGGTCAGGGACTGGACCGCCCCGGACTGTGTCCACCCTGAGAGGGAATGTCCAATATTCCATCGACCGACATGCGAGGGGAGGACAAGGGCGGGCGCTGTGCGTGTCCGCGGCGTGTCCTTGCCGACGCAAACCCAATTCAAATTTATATCTGAAATGGATCATGCGCGAACAAAAAGCAGACAGTTCGCATCGGCACATTGGAGTTGGAGTTGCCCTTAAATAATCCAATCCATGGATCCCTTGGAGCACGACGACAGGTACACCAAGTCCGACTCGGAGACGGGATGGGCGGTGAGACACACAGGCGACCGCGCACGCACACACACGAGCGAGGTCGGTCGCCTGTCTCTTTCCATATGAGAATTATTAAGTACGCGATGCGTGGTCCTGGACCGGATCCTATCCTTATTCCACTTTGGGTCGGAGAGGAAAACTGGCTATAAATATAGCAGCCAGCGGGTTTGCTGGATCGTATCTCATACCCTCACAACTCCTCCTGCGAAAGAGGAAGACCTAGCTACCTCCGCCGCCGTCACAACTTATCCTGCTTTGCTCGTGGGACAGATCGACAGCTCTCAGCCAAGCCAGCCACCATGGGCAAGGCCGCAAGGGCAGGTGTACGTGGCCTCCTGGAGGAGATCGTCGTTTGGGAGATCCTCGTTCGCCTGCCCCCCAAAGCCCTCCTTCGTTGCCGGGCTGTCTGCCGCGCCTGGCGCAGCGTCACCTCCACCCGAAAATTTCTCCTCGCACACCACGACCACCAGCCCGCATTCCCCCTCCTCGATAACGGCAGTTATCTAGACCTCGACAACGACTCCATAGACATCTGTTGCTTCGACCATCGGCCAGGGCTGGCCGCCCCTGACCGGCTCCAGTCCGTCGCCTTGTTGAATCTCGGTGACGATAACGCCTACTCTCGCCTGGTTGCCTCCTGTGATGGCCTCCTCATCTTCTTCATCGACGACTACCGCTTGTTCATCTGCAATCCGGCAACTCGTGAGCATGCTCCCCTCCTGCCGCCTCCGAATCATCACTGGACGCTCCTGGCAATGTACCCTCACACCCCGACCGGCGAGTACAGGTTACTGCTCTACCCGTATGGGCGTAACCCAGGCAATGAGCCAGCTCATGCGTGCCAAGTCTTGTCGTTGGGCTCCGGCCAGCCGCCGAGGAACGTCGGGTGGCCAGATGCGATTTCAACTGGGATTATGATGGAATTAGACCCTCCTGTGCTATTCCGCGGTAACCTGCATTGGTTCCCGTCCCGTGATGACAGCGAAAGCAAGATGATAATGGTGTTCGACACCATATCTGAGTTGTTCCGGCAGATGCGTGCTCCTGTTGTTACTGATTGCGCTGACCTGTTTGAGATAGACGGTAAGCTTGGCATGGCCATCTTAGATCTTGAGACAACCATTGATATTTGGATGTTGCAAGACTACGAAAAGGAGGTCTGGATCTTCAATTGCCGGATTGAATTACCGGTTGCGGAGATCAGGGTCCAATGCGACAATTATGACGATCATTTGAATTTGCATGTGATGGTGGTGCCTGGGGATGGTGAGCTGCTCGTGCTCGTCAAATTTACCGAGTGGCTACTTTGGGTTGGTATGGATGGCAAGTTGGTCTCCAGATTACCCAGCAAAGAAGTCGATGCTACTTATCTTCAGCTCAAGCAAACTCTTGTTCCGCATACCTTCTTTCCAACACTAGAGGGTTATGTTGTGAATGCTCCGCCATTCACCTGAAGGCTGTTTAGTGGGGTGGTGCTTCTTAACATCCTAGATGTTTGTATTCTTATATGAGCTGCAATTTGTATGAATTGGATCCACTATGAGCCTACTAGCTTCTTTTCTTATATACATATAAAATTTAATCACAAAGGTTTGACCATAACATAGTTGCATGAAATCTATGCTTGTGTCGGTACCATTCCATGTTGAAGGAAGTGACTATACTGTGCATGTTGAGAATCTCGTCCATGCTTGGTTCGCCAATTTCGTCCGAAATTTTCCGAAAAACTGAATTTCGTCCATTTCGCCCAGGCCCGGTAAATTTTGCAAAAACGAAATCCAAAACCTTGGTTGAGATGTGCCTAATCAGGGAAATATATGTTCTCCCACCTTTTTTAACATTTGCTTTTGGAAGGGGTCAAAATCATATAGTTAGCTACAGCCAAGAGTTTGGTTAATCTATTTTTTTATAAAGAGTGTGGCAAATCTTTGATATCCTTGTGTGATGTTTTGAATGAGTAAACTGAAGAAAACTAAAATCAAAATTCAAGATGGGATGGGCCGCTGAGGTTCAGTTATTAATTAGTATCATGCGTAGAAAACGGGATGGTGGTATCTTCAACTGAATCAATGCTTCAGCTAACGATTCATCCGGCTCCTGGTAAACGGAATACCATTGTTGCGGAGTTTGTGGACATCATTCATCCAATTTGTCTTCTGGGTGCCTGGTTTCTGGTAAAACTTCATCTATTGTGATCTATAAAATCTTGCCTTAGAACTACAAGTAGTGATTGATGGGTGGATTAAAGCTTTGTGGAGATAAAAATTGAAAAATACAATTCAGTTTTACTAAAAGTGGCTAACACAACCAACATTCAGCATGTGTACCTTGTCTTATCATTTGAGCCATCCCTGTCAAGAACACAACTGAACAGTTGTACTGTCAGTTATTTCTCTCCCAGTTGTTGCTTGTCATTTTTACAGGGCCATCTTGGGGAGGGAGGCCTATGGCTCACCATCATCCATAATAAGTACCTTAGGGGCCAACCTCTAGCTTTCTGCCAGCGTTCTGGTGGCTCCCAGTTCTGGCAGGTTGTGATCCAGCTCCTTTCCATCCTCTATATCGGCACGTCCATCTCGGTGGGCTCCGGGT